ATTATAATACTTGAATTCCTATTTTTAATACCAATTACTTTTTTCATCTGAGTGTGAAAAAGAAAAAATCATAGTCGCATTCGTGACTGGTCTTCCACTGAGAGAAATAGTGAAAGTTATTCTAACTAATAGAATAGTAAGTGTTTTCCTTATCCTCTCATTTGGCATCTTTAGTGTGAAGCTTAAAAGTAAATTATTTATATGTAAAATGTGGTCTTTAGAATTAGAAATATAGATAGGACTTAAATTTCCAATACTCAATAAAGGCTTTTTCAGTCCACAAGATAGCTCTCCATCACTGATTGGCCTAGTGGTCATACCCTCAGAAGAATGGTGTTTAGGACATCAAAATCCTAGGTTCAAACTTAGGCACTCACTCTCCCACCCCCAACTTTCTCCCAATTTATAAAAAATAAAAAAAAAATCCATGAGATAGCTATTAACTATGAGTAATGATTGGCACACCTTGTACTTCATCACACCTATCAACATTCACCAGTTTAATTAATAAATTTTACAAATGAATTTTCTCCTGCCTTGAATTCAAATTTGTGAAATGTGTGAATTAAAGGCATACCAATCATTGTCCATTAGCCATAAGGGATGGTTTAAGCAACTAATTATCTAGAGACAAACATATCCTTATCAAAAATACCTAACATTCAATATTAGATTAAGGAAACATAGTGGGGAATTGTGAATGAATAGTCTGGTATATAACTGTGGAGATCAACTATTAAAATTTACAGTTTTAAGTTTTTTGCCTTTAATTTAAATTTAAAAATAATAATTTATTAATGAGTGTCTTATAAAATGTGTTAAGCCATAAGATGTCTATACTTTATGGACATTTTTGAAAATTAAGATAGAGGTACCAATAAAGATTCAATATCAAAAGAAAATCAAGTCTATACTCTATAATCAAGAAAAGATTGAAATCTCAACTGTTACAAAATTTTGGTTTTGTTTTTCCTTAAATTATGTTTTATGTTGTTAAACATTGTAATGATAATAAGAATTCGTTACTTAATTTTCATATGGTTACTTACGAACTAATTTAGCTAACATTATGATGTAACATAATCAATTTAATATAAATTTTGTAATTTTAATAATTTTTTTTAGATTTCTATTTTATTATAAATATACGTTATTGTTTTTAATATTTTTTAATACTTGATCCCCATTAAAATCGATTTAAAAAGCATAAAAGAGGAGATTTTATATAATAGTTTCTAATAATATATACTATGAATTTGATAGATGCTAAAAATGGATCAATGTGATTCGTATAACGTTAATGAAAAATAAAACCAAAAGATCCTGCCTAAACTAGAGGAGTTTCATAAAATTTAATGTGTCTTTAATTATTTAAATTCATATAAAAATGTAGTAGGTTAATATTTAGTATAGATTTAATATATATAATTTGAAAAAATATATCGAATAAAAAAAACTTGAACCAAAAACACCATCGTTTGAATATTTGTGGTTTTATTTGGTGGGTTTAAATTCTTAAGAGAGGCCCATTGTATATTTATTTGAGATTTTATGAATATTTTAAAAGATTTATTAATATTTTAAATGACTCATTAAATATTTATTTAAGATTTATTAATAATTTTAACTATTTTTATAATACAGTAAGAATATAAGATTTAGCAACTAGTAATTATCTTGAGGCAAACGTATCCTTCACACCCAAAACTAATAATTTACAAACTCTGTCTAATATGTCTATGACTTTTAACTTTTGGTTTTAATTTTTAAAATTCAAATAATTAAAATTGAAAATTGAAAACCAAAATTAAAATTTAAAATCAACAACTTATTAGATATAAAATTTTAGAATTAATACTCAAAATTTTAAAGTCAATTAATTTATAAAATTTCGTAAATTTCTTATGAGATTTCTAAATTTTTAAAAACAAAAACAAAAAAAACTTAAAATCACAGCCAATCTTAGACAGAGTAGTTAGTATCTCTAGTCATAATAGTTAATTTTGTTGAAAATCTTGGCATTGAAGGAGAATTTGCTGACGCCCTATGTCGTTATACACGCTTCACAACATACTATAAAAGCACACAGCCTCCTAAAGTATTCATCCAAAAACCATTTCACTTAGACCATATGCCCAGCATGATCACTTCCAGTTTCACTCATTTTCTTCTTTTATTTCTCGTTCACTTATTTTCTAATGAATTTATATCCCTCCAAGCAAGCGGATTTGGTTCCCATTCAACCAACTCCACAACTACTTGTTGGGAGATGGAGAGAAACGCACTTCTCAAGTTCAAAGAAGGTCTCAAAGATCCTTCAGGCCGGCTTTCTCCTTGGGTTGGCAATTATTGTTGTACATGGCCAGGCGTTGGCTGCAACAGGCAAACGGGACATGTCACGAAGCTTGACCTCAGGATGCCCCTCGCCAACAGTTTTAATTCTATTAAGATAGATCCAGAAGCTTTTGGCTCTGCATCCTTACAAGGTACGATAAGTCCTTCATTGCTTGATCTGAAATATTTACACTACTTGGATCTAAGCTGGAACAATTTTGAACAAACTCCAATCCCCAACTTCATTGGTTCATTCACCAAGTTAGAATACCTTAATCTCTCTTGTGCATTTTTTAGTGGCTTGGTTCCTCCCCATCTTGGAAATTTGTCAAACTTGCGTTACCTTGATCTCTCCTCTTTCGATGAAGATTATGCTTTGGTTTCAGATTATGCTTTGGTTTCAGATTATGCTTTGGTTTCTGATTTGAATTGGATCCTTGGACTCTCTTCGTTGAAATTTCTCGGGATAGATAGGGCAAACCTTAGTTTTGCATCAACCAATTGGTTGCCAGCTATAAACATGCTTCCTTCCTTGATGGAGTTACATTTGTCTTCTTGTAGTCTCCATGACATCCCTACTTCTCTTCCAATTGTGAACTTCAGTTCTATTCAGGTCATTGATCTTTCATGGAATGATTTCAATTCACCATTACCCGGCTGGTTGTTCAATACCAGTTCCCTTGCTGTGCTTGATTTGTCTTATAATGACTTTAGTGGACAAATAGCTCCATATTTGGAAAATCTTAATAACATGAGCGTTCTTGATCTTGGTCATAATGATCTCTCAGGTCCACTTCCAATTTCTATTGGAAACTTATCATCCTTAGAGATTTTATATCTTTCTGCCAACCAATTGAATGGACCACTTCCAATTTCTATTGGAAACTTATCATCCTTAGAGATTTTATGTCTTTCTTCCAACCAATTGAATGGAACAATTCCTGAAACCATTGGACAATTGAAAATTTTGAGTATTTTAGATCTTACTATTAATAACTGGGAAGGTGTTGTGTCTAGAATTCATTTTCTCCACCTAAACAATATGAAGTCATTTTTCTTATCCACCGTCAAAGAAAAGCCACTAAGATTTGATGCGGGATATGATTGGATTCCTCCTTTCAGTCTATATGAAATCCTCATTGGTAATTGTCAGATGAATCCCAAATTTCCTATATGGCTCCAAACTCAGAAAGAGCTGCAGATTGTTCACCTTACTAATGTTGGAATTTCAAGTTATGTACCTGATTGGTTCTGGAAACTGAGTCCACAACTTAGAATGTTATCTCTTAATGCTAACAACTTGAGTGGAGAGCTTCCAAGGTCATTAAAATTTCCATCAGATTCTACTGTAGACCTCAGTTCCAATTTATTTGAGGGACCAATTCCACTATTTTCTGGTGTCGATCAACTCAATTTGCAAAAGAACTCACTCTCAGGACCAATTCCAGCAAATTTTGCCGATGCCATGCCATATTTAGGATGTCTGGTTCTTTCTGAGAACCACTTCAATGGTAGCATTCCTTCTTCAATAAATAAGTTGGAGCACTTGAGACTTCTATTGCTAGAAAATAATGAACTTTCTGGAAAGATTCCTTCAATGAATAGATTGAACAAATTGCAGACATTAGACCTTTCAAATAACAATTTATTTGACAACATTCCAAGCTCCTTGTGCTCACAGTCTCCTCTTAGACTTAGTTATTTGAAATTGAATGGCAACAATCTTTATGGAAATCTTTCATCCTTGGAAAACTGCACAGAGTTGGGGACACTTGGTCTTGCAAATAATCAGCTCCATGGAGTCATTCCAAGATGGATTGGAGAAACTCTATCTGGTCTATCGATACTACAGTTACGAGGAAACATGTTTAGGGGAAAGATACCAAAAAGTTTGTGCAGTCTTCCTTTTCTCCATGTTATGGATTTAGGGCAGAATAATCTTTCAGGATCAATTCCACCATGTCTAGGCAATTTAAGTGGGCTGTATCACCCACAAAATGGCACTATTGGATCTGTTGCTGAGCTTTTTGAACTTGACATTTTTAATGTTAGTAAGGGTACTAATCTTACAGCGAAATTGCCCTACTTTGAGCAAATTGCGGACATGGAATTTAATGTTAAAGGACAAACACTTAAATTTGTCAAGATTGTTGATCTTGTGAATTTGATAGATTTATCAAGTAATAATCTTGAAGGGGAAATTCCGGAAGAGATAATGAAGCTTTCTGCCTTGGGTACATTGAACTTATCTCGGAATCAGTTAACAGGAAACATCCCTGAGAAGATTGCAGACTTGCGGCTGTTAGAAACTCTTGACCTCTCAGTCAACCATCTTTTAGGCCCTATTCCAGCAAGCATGTCGTCTATGACCTTCTTGAGCCATCTGAATTTGTCTTATAATGATCTATCCGGACCAATCCCATCAGCAAACCAATTCCAAACCTTCATTGATCCATCCATTTATGAAGGAAATCCAAAACTTTGTGGAGCTCCATTGCCCACCAACTGTTCAACACACAAAAATGATACTCCAGAAGGATATACTGGCAAGGATATACTGATGTGCAGTTTCTACTTAGGAGGCTTTGAATTATGAAGTCAAATCAGTTTGGTGGATGTTTATCTTGTGTTTCCAATGATAATAGTGTTTATTGCTTCTGTTGCCATGAAATGTGAGTGTTTTCAATCAGTTGTTGTGTGCTCTTGAGAGTTACTGGTGACTCAATGAGGTTATCTTGTTTATGTTATTTTGATAAATGAAAATTGATGTTCTGTGTGGTTGTGATTTAATGAAAGTTTATAACCTAAATTTTATTGATGAACATACTTCAATTTCTCCCCCCAAAAAAAAAAATTTATGAAAAAGAAGTAGCATGACAAAAGGTTTTAATCAAAGGCTAAAAAACCCTGAAATTTTACACGGTCATTGTTTTCGCTGCCGTTCCAAGGGCTTACCCAGTAGCCTTGTATTAATCAGCTTTCATCTCCTCATGTACTGCAAATTATATGAAGAGATTTCATTTTCTACCTCTCCGTAAAGAGTATGATTTATTACATTTCCCTTTAGAATTGATCAGCTCCTACACCCTTTGAGACACTATGTTCTGCATAGAGAGGACAGTTTGCATGTTGAAACTCAAGTTCTATAGACTTCCACAGATCATCATGAAGCACGAATCAACTATAAGAAAAACATAATAAATATACAAAGTTTTCTTCTATCCCATTTTATGGATGCAGCAGCACTATTAGAGTATATCATATATTACTTTGACAACATATTAACACGAAACTATAGTGAAAAGAAGAGGGAAAAAAAATCTAGATTTTGGCTTTCTTACCAATATGGTAATTCTGAAGTGTGTACTTCTAAAAGGATTCATACAACATGAACATTTGGCTTACAACTACCAGTTTTGGGAGGGTTCAGCCTCTTCTTTCTCTCCCCAAAGCTCAGGCTTCGCACTAAACCTGGAAGGCAGCACTGTGCAGACTGGTTTGATTTCTCTTTTTTGGGTATGGATCCTCTGTATGGAGTTATTTCCCCACCAGGTGTGGAGTTTGTTATTGGTGCAGCTAAGCTTTTCATGGCAGATCTTTCAGGTTGGGCAAGGTTTGCAGGTTTGTCTTCTGGCTGACCTAAATTTTGACCAACATTCACAGAGGCAGTACTGTTGAAGCTCTCACTAAAGAGCTCAATTAGTTGTTTTTTCATATCATTTGGTGAAGGTTCATCATCCACACCACGAGCTTTGTCATGTACAGAATTTTCTATGGACCTTTCAGGATGCATGGGAGTGTCATCTTGAGGAGGGGTAGGATCTGCATGAAAAATCTAGTCAAATACCACACAAATTTTTATATTTAAAGACAAATCTCACTGAATAAAAATATAGGATCTTTTGCATGCCTAGTGGGAAAGAAAAAAGTATGCATTTCCTAACAAAAAATTAAGGAAATCTCACCCCCATTGACACTGAAGAAATCTTCACAATCAGAATCTAAGCAGGGCTGTGAATCAAAAAAGAAATCAGCTTTACCTGGAGAAAACAACAGGAACATGTCAACGTTAGAAATGCAATAGAGGCGTAAATTCAGTCATGAAGAAAGGGAAAAAAAATATATGACCATGCAGAAGGCAAGCCAATCAAATTTAATTTCCATGCTATTCTTTAATAATCATTGAGATTGGCTACACTCTACAGCTAGGTTGCCTAATCTTCTGACATTGCAATAGGAACAATTGTTCTAATCCCACACAACAAATAATTCTTGACTTAGGCTTCCTTCTAATACTGGTGAGTTTAGAGCTGCAAACGATGTGCAGAGTTAAGGAACAAGTGACAGAACAGATTAACACAATCTGACTTGGTTTTGGTTCTCCATAGAAAGCAACTCTTCCACTACAGGGGGTTTCAAGAAATTAACTTGTCTTCTCTGTCATACTTATTAGATGTTAGAGATCATTTCTCCTCATTTAAGTAAGAAAGTTCAAGTCTAGTTTTGGCTTTCTCTACCTGTTGGAAATTGGGTTCAGAATTTTAACTGCAGAGGACATCATTTAAGCATTCTTATTAGATTTTTAACATTTTCATAAGACAAAGCATTGTTGAAAAGATCAAGCGGCAGCCTCATCTCATCACAGTGCTAATGGTTCCCTAGGATTTGCAGACACAGGTAAAATATGAAGTTGGGATCGAAGTATTAGCCTCATTTCATTAGAGTGTTATGCAGGCTGAGATTAGTGTATGAATGTTGTATATTTACGTGCTTCCCCAAACTTCTTAGTCACTATATGGTTCATCCTTCTTCAGGGCTATGAGTATGAGGTTTTGGCAAATTGCAAATGATTCTATAACTTTGAAGTAGTGCAATTCAGATGAATACATGAATATATATGACCAAGAAACAGAAAGAACTTCAAAAGTTCATTGAGATGCAACTACTAAAACACAACACTATAAAAATTCAGTTAAAACTCCTAACAGAGACATTTGCACAAACACATAACAAGCACATGTGATCAACAGTAGACCAAACCGACAGGCATCTTCAATCAGAGTAACAAACCCACTCATGATACGATTACGAAAACAAAGGAACTAAGAATTATGAAAACCAAGTCAGAGACATACCCAACTCTCGAAAACTGTCTTCTCCCCTCTGATTCTCCAAACCCAGTTCAGCAACCGGCTTCTCTATCTGGACCATCATTTCCTTACTGGGTGATTCAATCTGGACTCCAAGTGTCATACCCGGGTCTGTGCTGCTGTGAACCGACGCGCAATTACCCATGTCTCCTCTTCTACTCATTCATGAAACAGGTTAAAAACTTCGAAAAAAAAAAGAGCTACTTCTGTTTGTTTTGAAGAGAAAAGGGGGAAATGAATGGGAAAGAGAACAGGGAAAGTGGTTTGACCTTGGGTGAGCTTGAATTCACTCAACTAAACTGTTAGGAGGGAGTTGATTGGTCTTGAAAGCAAAGTAATGGCATTTGCAGGTGTGGGTCCTTCTGATAAAATCTTTTCCATTTAGTAGCACTGCCTTATTACAAGAATCAAGAAATACTGTTCTTTCTTTATCAGACCAGAAATACTGAAAGAAAAGTTGCTCTTTTTTAGGTGGTTCCACAATGCAAACTCCCCTGCTTTTCCTGTGTGTAACCATGAACATTTCCCAAATCACTCTACATTCATTAATTCTTCTCCAAGTTTTTTTTTTTTTTGATCAATTTAGAGGAAGGGTGCTTGGGGCTGGGCTCGGAGAGGAAAGGTGCACAACCAATCAATTAAGGAGGCTATAAGGAACAGAGTATGGGAGTTTGTTTTGGTTGTTGATAGCTGTTATCCACTAAATAGTTACTAGATGTTGAAGAAGATATTTTTGTTAAATGAACATGAGGGAGTGGTTAGGCCAAGTTCTACTTTGTTAGGTAACTTAATTTTTTTTAATTAAACAGTTAAAAATAATTAATAATTGATAATTATTATTTAATAAATTAAAATTAATTTATAAATTAATTTTTTTAAATATTATAATTAATTATTTAAAAAATTATGAATAAATAAAATATCAATTAAATTAAATAATTTTCAAATAACCTTAACAAAATAATTAGAGATTATAATCACAGCTAAAACTATTTTTATAAGTCGAAATTACCGGCTATCAGTAAGTTGGATAGGGAGAGTACTCATGAAAAAGGAGTTGGTTCAAGTGATATTCAATCCTACTTTAGACTTTAGACCCAGAAGGACAGGAAAAGGGGAAAAAAGTTAAAAATCTGTTGATGTCCAAAGCAAGTGTTAAAAATATCTAAAGCATAACAGGAGAGAGAAGAGAGAGGAAAGCTAAAGTGCTTACACTTTATTGCTTGGAATGGACATGGAGGGACTGTTTTTGGGTTGGCCAAAGCCTAATTTCCAACTCCTAACCACAATGATGAGGTAAGAACTGTCTTCAAAGTTGGGCTATGATGCCTCCTTTGATATTTTCCTGTCTTTTTCTTGGTAGTTTGTTGTATTCATATTGGATTGGGGCATGCTTGTGTTAATTTTGTTAGATATGAATCATATGATCATGACCCAAGTTTTATTTTCCTTTTTAAATTACAGTTCATGTAAAATTAAGGTCTTATTTAGGAGTGTCGGCAACTTTTCGTACAAGATCTTGCCAAAAATACTAACCTTTATAATAAGTGATTAATAGATTTTTTACAATAAATAAATAAATAACTTACAATTATAAAACCACACTCTTGAATAAAAGCGAAGTACATTAAAGACTGAAAAACACATTTTTGTCCTTTATTTAGGCTTACAGATTTAAAACAGCTGGATTATGTCGTTGCCTATGTTGCAGAAGAACGAAGAAAGGTATCTGAAGAAAAGTATCTGATAGAGTGGAAAATGACAGAGATTTCTTATTAGATTATTTACATTATTAGCTGTTGACTTTTACACTTAATAATTGAAATGATTACTTACAACTTACGACTGTTATTTTGGAAAATGAACTGTTAATAATATGTAAATTTTTTTACATTTTTGTTAAAGGGGACTTAATTTTATAGGTTTAATTACACTAAATTATAAAATAAAAATTATTAAGTAGAGAAAAAATTTTAAGATTAAGAGATTTATTTTTTTAATAATTAATATAATATAATATAATACAATCTAAACTATATTATATTTTTTATTTATTAAAAGTGAGTTCAGATTCATATATATATAAGAAATATAATGGCAAAATCTTAATTAAATTGATATTTATTAACTTAAATTTTGAGTTTAGGTTAAAATAATAAGTTTAAATTTTTATATTATCAAATTACTAATTTTTTTATGCATGAAAAAAAATATATAAAAAATATGAACAAATTAAAATGATGACAAATAGACTCAATTTTTTTAAAAGAAAAAAAAAAGTTATACATCAGATAAGGAATATTTTTATAGGAGGTGGTACTGTACTGGTAGCTGGGCCAGGTGTCATCGGAGTTAGTTTTTTTTTTTTTTTTTTTTTTTTTTTTT